GTGTTTAGGGTGGGCCTGGTGTGCCCTAATTACACGTATGATGGTCAAGTGAGCCATACTTGTAGCAGGGTCTGGTGTGCCCTGAATATTAACACGGTCTAATGGGCTGTGTTTAAGGTGGGCCTGGTGTGCCCTATTTCATGGCTGGGTCTGGTGTGCCCGATGAAAATGCAATTTTGTTGCCAGTTTGCCCAAAAACTTCTGGTATCAGGCAATATTCGGAAGAGTTCTTGGAAATAAAACAAAGCTGTGGCCAGAACACCAAGTGAAGTGTGTGTGCGAGGTGATTTATTTCAGTCTGAGAATAATAGGTAACCGTGCCCTGAAAAAACAGTCAATTTCGAGGGCAGACCTTAACAACTGCTACACTGAATACGTTTAGTGGACCCGTATTGTTTGTTACAGCGGTATTGCATATAGAGATTGATAGATTTGCAGACCAACATATATCTGCATCAACCACACTCAACGCTCAAGTTGCACACGTAAGAATGCACTTGGAACACGTACTGGTTTACCAGATTGCAGAATATAAACACAGTTATAAAATTCAAAACATTTTTCTAAATTTTAACACATAATTATTTGTCATTATTTTGGTACATTACCTAATGTAGTGTTCAAAAAGAGAAAGATTGATCACTGCCAAAACAACTGGTAACTGGGCTATGTAGATCACCTAACAAATACCTTGTTCACAAGTAATGGGTTGACTAGGTTCAGTCCTTTACCTCAGTAACGATGGTGTTTTTTTAAAACATATTTGGACATGTATAGACCATCAAATTATTGACATACACATACCTTGCTAGGTGCAGTGTACTTCACAGTGATTGGCTGGAGAGATTCAATCAAGCGAGCTTGAAGGCCAAGTGCTCTAAAGGTTGTCAAACAAACCTAATGGACCAATGCAAAAGGTGAAACAACTTTGTCAATTAAATGTTTTAGTGGTAAAGTTGTTTTTCATAATGATTTTCAAGGACTCCTACACAACTAATTACTTGACCCAGAGGTGACAATGTGAGACATATTTGTTAGCAGACTGTTTCACTTTCAGTGGAAATCCAATTAAGCAGTTGGTTTGTTCAACAGGTACATGTACATGTTCATACCAGCTATCTTGTTTGCTTTTTGCAAATTTTTCAACACGTTGTGCTAAAATATCTACCTTATAAAGGTTTTATAAAGGTACCAATAATCAGTAATTAACTACGTTTTTCTCCCTAGAAACAGAAAGCAGGAGTGTGCGTTTACAAGCATTTTTTGAACCTAGTACCCATCTTATGTCAATACTGGGTACCCGAGTACCCTTAAAAATAAAGAACACTGAGTTAACAAATGGCATTGTGTGCAATCCCAGCAAGCCAGTCGCCCGAAACGGTTTTTGGGACATAAGATAGGAAGCAGCATAGTTTTCTACATGTTCAAAGGAATTCTCCCCCACCTTTTCATCAAACAAAATTGTTACTTCAGTTTGTAACAAAAAACACGTAGCTCTGTCGATCTCTGAACCGCAGTTATGATTGCATGGAGGAGGAGCATGACGACTGGATAGTATTTGACAGTATTTAGAGAGCAAAATTATTAGTTTCAGACTGACGTCTACCCTTTTCTCCCCTTTTTTATTTGGGGAGGGGGCTTTGCTTTGTGTTTTTGTAGTGCTTTTGTGACGGAAAGGACAAATGTCTAGTAAACAATGGGATATCCGATCCACGTTTCATTACTGTATGATGGTATTTTACATGTGTTTATTCTTTTTTTTGAGCAGCTTCAAGGTGTGAAGTTCTTTTGATGTGTATCACTACAAAATATCTAGCTATAATACACCTCAGTGTTCATTTTATTTGGAAAAACTTCAATCTGAACAGTTTCTTGGGGTTATAACTCAACATGCATGATTATTCTATGTATACATGTACAAAAACAGGCACACCAAATTAAAAATTAACATAATAATGTTAACCACTTGCTGCCGGGTGCTTTTAACCACTTGCTGCCAAATAGTTTTAAAAATGCAATGCACATAATCGAGACTTTTTCAAGATTTTCAGTTTTCAAAATTCAAAAATTCATCATTTCAATTAATAGACGTTGACAGACAAAATCTATCAATGCCCGAGTATTTCAGCCAGGCCTGCAGCCTTGTAAAAAGACCCAAGATTATGCAGTGTTATGTAACTTTCTTTTGTTCACGAACCCGGCACAGTGCGCTGCTGACCTCTTTTCAACAGGGGCCAGATAAGCGTGCAGCAGTGCTGTGTGGCTCATCGCTGCAGTGGTGAACCAATTTTGTCCCCCGTGGTATCCGCTCACACTAAATACCCCAAACCGTGGTACACTGTTTCAAAACAAGGCTGGATTATCTCCACTATTGAGAGTGAAAAAATGTCAGTAATGCCCAGCAGCCTGGTGTTTTTGCTCCGAGTAAGGTCTTTTGTTACAAGGCCCAGTTCTCTTTGTCCGATTTCAGAGACCCCAGCCACGCATATAAACACACAGTGCCAGAAACCAGAGTCCCCGGCGGCAAGTGGTTGAAAATGCAGTGCACACATGCGAGAGATTTTCAAGATTTTCAGTTTTAAAAACTCTTCAAAAATTCTTAATTTCATTTAATGGATGTTTACACCCACAAGAATGACTCTTTGGTGGCTGACAGGTAACCTTCATTGACTCCTGAATATTTCAGCCAGGCCTGCCGCCCTGTGAAGAGAGCCCAGAATTGTGAGGTGTTGCGTAATTTCGTTTATCCCAATTGAATGCAAGTGACATCTTTTCAAACGTGGCTAGATTAGCATGCAGCAGTGCTGTGTCGCTCATCAATGAGGCCCTGGAGCACTTTTGTCCGCGGTGCTAATCCGTGAGCGTGCAACGCCCAGAACAGTGGTATACTGTTTAAAAACAGTGACGGATTATCTTCGAAAACTGCACGCCGAAAAAGGATGGCAATTTCCAGCAGCAGGTCTTTTGTTCCGAGTACTGTCTTTTGTTACATGGACCAGCTCTTTTGTTCCATTTCAGGCACTCTGGCTCTGCATATAAACCCATGGTGCTCGAAACGGGGTTCCCCGGCAGCAAGTGGTTAACCCATCATTGTTTGTACATTCTTGCCAGGGTCTAAACTGTTGTCAAAAGAATATATTACCATTATTCCAAACTTATTCTTATCATCACAAGGTAATGGGCTATACCGTGTAAAACAAGTGTTTGTGACAAAAATTAAAAAAAAAAATGGTCATTATGTAACAAAATATAAACCACCAAAATTAATGAGAACGAATTTTACTGAAAATAGGAAGAACAATGTTCTGTTCCACACTACAATACTACCGCATTTTGGATTACATAATATCACCGAATTCCATCAGACATTTCATTTTCATCACAAAAGCTCGCTGGTTTTTAGTGAACAGTCCTGAACAATAAGCAAAACTTGGTTCACAACAAGTCGCATCCGTGCGTTACAGTTTAACCCCAACTCCCTAGGGTGTATGTAAAATCATATTGAAATCAGAGGAATTGTGACTGTTGGTACATGTAATGGAACATCCCACTAGGATGAAATATTGCAGAGTATTGTGCAAGGATTGTGTGAATGCATAATATATGGCTGATGATTATAGAGAAATATGTGCAAGTAGTATCTACATGTATGCCCAGTGCAAATAAATACAGGTGGTGCATTTCATTACAGCCTTGTAGTTTGTGAACAAGGCTCTGATCTTAGCAAGAGAACAATTCATTGTAAAGGGTTTGCTTACATGGATCTGGTCCTGCTCTTTTGAAGCTGACATTTTCTCTATGCAACTGCAAAGGGCATCAATTGGTGTTGCTGAATCGCTTGATGGATGCTCATTAACAAAATATGTCGCTCTGAACCTAAATATGAAATAAAGACAAGTACTTGTAACATTCAAAAGTATAATATATGTCACATACTCTGCAAACTGACTGGAGAATTACATGTCCACATTTTTTGCACACATTACGTAAAAATAAAGTAACATCAAACAGGGTATGACAACACCTTTGAAGATTTTTTATGATCCAAATTAGTGGGCATTTTCAGAACAAGTAGATATCAAATGGTTCAGTAGTTCCTTTTTATACTGTCTTTATGATGAATTACTAAGAAAAGTAATGTTGATTCATAAATAACAGATACGAAATCAAACAGTTTAGAGGACAAGGCAAATTACTTGAAACAAATTGTGATTACAAGAGGTATTCAGCAATTAGACACTTGTAATTGTAAAAATTACAGCAAGTACATATCTGTTCACAATCAAAATTCCTCTTTCCGGTTCAGTTCAGTCTTACTGGCTAAAAAGCTTAAACTTACATGTACTCTAAAGAGCTTCTTTTGTGCACATATACACCTACATGTACATGTACCAGTACCCCAGCAAGTAACCTCAAACATAAAAGCCCAAGGCATTGTCAAGCTTGCCTTTTATGTTCATAATATTTGGGCAATTGCCTTTTATGTTCATAATATTTGGGCAACTGCATCCTCATACATGTACATGTTGGCATTCCATTTGGAAGTAGACAGTAAACTATCGAAATCAGTCGATGAGAGCAGCAGACAAATCTTGGCAAAAATATGATGTCATTGGATGGACATGACTTTCCACACAAGAATGCATAGTTCCAGCAAGACGGTTGATCGGTGCACACAAGAATATTATTCTCTGCTCTGACGCGTAGACTGGTAAATAACTTGTACGTGTCAAGTCAACCACATTTGGTCTTATTTCCCTATGCCCTTCTCTTTACACGGGGCAAAGCTATTGGACAACCAACTTGACGCGTCGCGTTCATTTTGTTTTGCATTACGTCATACACATCTAATAATTCCTACAGTGAATTGTGAATTTAGAAAGAATGCCGATAAACTGTGTTGTCGGTGGCTGTTTTTGCAATCAGACAAAAGAGAGGAATCAGAATCATCCTGTGAATATTCCTGTGACAACATTTTCAGGGAAAAAGTTGAATAGTATATAAAACGTTCCACGACTTTTAGCTTTTAAACATTCCTGATCATCAGCCGAGGATGTAACAGAGTCCATGATGAGACGTGGCCCACATGCTTTGCAGAATCATAGCGGCAGCGTGCAGTAATCCGACCCATTCATCAGCAGTACACTGATGGCCTACTTTTAGCTTCCTGCCAATTGTGACTCGTTCACATACTGAGCTACATTGTGCGCGATGAAAACTACATTGGAGTTTTTCCCTGACGCCAAATTCCTTGCAATGAAATTTCTTGTCTCTGATTACCCTGTATTTTTTTATTGGAAACTCAATTGCAATATCTGAAGGATTACAGCCTTAGACGTATCTCGCGATACGTCAAACGTTGTAAGCTATTGGTGGGAATGGAGGAGATTTATACCGTCTATAGTAGTATGCCATTGTGAGAAAAAAGACTGTACAGTATATGGATAAGACCATTCAGACTTTGTCGATCTCGGCAAAAAATGGGGCAAGATGTTGTTAGGCAAGGGAGAACCCGAATAAGCCCATTCAGACGGAATAAAGTTTATGCGAACCAACTCAACGCAGTTCGGAGAATAGTTTTAGAAGGCAAAAACAGGAGCCTGTTCACCACGACTGAGAAATCTACCGCA